TCTCTCTCTCTCTCTCTCTCTCTCTCTCTTGCTCTGCTCTTGTCCGCAGGCTATGCACCATGCCGAAAACATCGGTCCACTTGTTGAGTCGGAAAGAGAGCGAGCGAAGGAGAGCAGGACGGAATCCCGGAGAACGGGAGGCGTGTGTGGGTGGATGCGTGCGTGCGTATGCGTATACGCGCGGAAAAGTGACGTACGAGATAAAAAGCTTCGCGGCGCTAACAACGGACGGACAAAGAGGATCGACCCTCAGAGTACGCGTCACTATACGCGGTCGTGACGAGATCGAGTCTATCCCATATATCTCCATCTCCCTTCGCGATTAAGGCTATGGCTCACAAAAAGCTTAAGCGGTATAAGATGTGATCACTAAGAAAATCAACAGATTCCGATTTGCTACTGCTTACGTTAGTGCCTTACATTGAAAGAAATGTTTAATGTGAATAATCATTTATTTTGGTGCTATGTGAGCTACAAAAACTTTCTTTAATATTCACTGTTTAATTTAAAAATTGTGTTGGTTTAATCAAAATTTGATTAGAATAAAAACTGTGTTATATAATAAATTGTTAATAAAACTGTGATTATATATGTATTGTTCTAATCATAATTTGATTAAAATAATCAAATAATATGTGATTTACAAAAACATTCTTACTTTTTAATTTAAAATTATGATGGTTTCAAAATTTGATTATTATATAATTTTGTTAAAAAATTGTGACTACATTGTGTTGTTCTAATCATAATTTGGTTAGAAAATAACCAAATGATGTGACTTACGAAAATTTTCTTACTTTTTAATTTTAAAATGTTGCGCTTTTATTGAAGTAGAAACAAAAATTTTTTTAATTAAACAGTAAGACAGTTTTTGTAAGTCACATATCATTTGGTATTTCTTTTCTATGTACGTGTGTATCAAGAAAAATAAAATATCACTCATTTGCTACGACATGAATTGTCATTTTTCAATTAAAAAAAAAGAATGAAAACTTCAAGAAAAAAGAAAGAAAGAACAATATATTTTAAAAATTATTACACTACAATTTTTAAGGTTAATACCCCAAAATTTTAATGATCACAAAAATTCCAACTCATTTTCTAGAAAACTTTGTTTTCGGAGTTATGTCATTTTGTTGTAATAAATAAGCTATACACAAAATATATCTCGCTATTAATAAAATCCACCCACACATGCCAAAAAATAACTTACGGGCGAAGATACGACAAAATATATGATCAAAATTACAATCAAAGTTACGATCGAATCTTTGTAGAATTTATATTCCAATATCTAAATCGCAAATTATGCATAAATACATCCCTCATGTGATTCGTAAAACAAGGAAAACTTCACGACAGGTTCCCGTTGTAACGAGTCCCATTGCGAGTTTCTTTGAAACTGTCCGATCTCGCCGACGCCCAGTTAATTAAAAGCTCGGCGCGAGCCTCGTCCGAGCTGTATAATGGATCGTCGGTGAATTTTAAGGTGGCGTGCTTAACTTTTGCGCGAAGTTAAATGGCGTTGTTTACCGCGCCCGGCGAAGTTTAATGATATCGCGGCCGAGAATATCTTCATTTCGTTGCGCGTGCGAGCTCGCGGGGATGCCGGCGGAAGAAGACCCCGTAATGACCGCGCGCGATTTCGGAAAATCTGTCAGGGAGGGGGACAAACGAGATATCTCGTGGCGCCAAAGGTGCCTCGTTAGTCGGATATTCGTGAGTAATTTTAGTGTCGTACCCACGCGACTGCCCGAAGGTTTATAATTACCTAACCTCACCCGACCTAATCTAACCCACTTGGCAAACGAGCGAGAGTTCCAGTTTTCCTCTCACCCGAGCGCCGGATACGACAGGCGAAGCTCGTTAAAAAGAGAGAGAGAGAGAGAGAGAGAGAGAGAGAGAGAGAGAGGAGAAAAAGAAGAAAGAGTCGATCGACCGGGAATTGTCGTCGAGCCTCCAATTAATATCTGACCTGACTTTACTTGGACCTAATGACGCGATGCAATCGTTTATAAACGAGAGATTATGACAATTGTAAGTCGGCAATCAAATTCTGATGGGAGGAATGGCATAATATAAGTATTTGCGTTTATATGTGGCTAAATAGTTCGACATTATACAATGTAGCGACGATTGACATCAATTGCGAACGGCCGCTTTATTGAAGACACTTGATCTCATTTTGATTCAAGACATGAACGTACGAGCGAGCGAACAATATCAACTTTTATGGCGCAGGTTAATCGGTATTTTATTAGCGTAAAAGGAGAGCGATGTATTCTTCTGAAATTTTCATGTAAAAACGCATTAAATTAGAAGCGATAAACATAGGCGGTGTAAATGTAACAAGGTGTTTGTACCTGATAAAGGTGCGAACACACTTGTCGCCATAATGAGCCATAAAGTAACAGTCGACAAACAGTCAACAGTCAAAATAAATGACCATTCTATTGAAATGGTGCAGGTATAAAGATGCTATTCACACTATTTTAAATAAGCTAGTAACGACAGTAAAATCATGTAAAACGACAACCGCCACAATGCGACATAGTGTCAATACACAGTTTGAGATTTGTTTGTACCTGCTTTTCGAAACATTTTTAGGAGAAATAAGAAAAATTATGTTTGAAAGATAATGATCCAATTAAGGACCCATTATAATTTTGAACCCTCGTCAAAAACACGTAGAAAATATTTGTTTATTTTACACGTTGTGTCAATTCTTTTCCTCAAATTTTTCATGTTCTTCTAATGGAACTTTGATTAAATATAAAAGAGAAAAAATATATTAGAGAAACCGGAGAAAATATGAATCTTTTTATCTGTTTGTAAATGTCTCTATAACTACTCATAAATTTTTTGCTATCAGGACTCCGTTAAATTCATAATGATATAATGAATTATACTCGATTTGAGTTATTTTTAATTATTTCTGTAAATCACCACTGCTCCTATTCAATATATAATTAATTTAACTACAAACAATGGCGTTAAATTTAAAACAATTTAATTAAAAAAATAATAATATATTAAATTTGATTCAAATTTAATTTATTATTTACTAAGCATTAAATATGAGAACGTTGTTTCCTTTGAAGCTAAATTGATTTACATTTTGATATATATAACAGTTAATAACAAAATATTATTTAACTCAAGAAATTGGATCTCCTGTCTTCTAACAATATCAATATGATTCGGTTTTTTCATTATTTGATTAACTTGTAGTTTGGATTTAACTTCACTTAATTTGATGCTAAAAAATTGTGTTCTTCTAGCTATGATTAATTACTAAACTAATAATTTTGTAGTGGTAACTTTAAAAGTTATTCATTACAAAACCATCAATTTAGCAATTAACCATAGCCAGAAAAATACAATTTTTACATTATCATCAAGTTAAGCCTAACCGGAAATTAACCAGAAAATAAAAAATTGAACCTAAGAACAATATCCAAGAACAAAAGTAGCGCACGAAATTCTGAAATTGGAATTGTTCCAAATCGGAAAATGTACTAATAAAGTAAACAATCTACCGTTTCGAGCACAGTCGCCGTAGCAAATAATGACACAATTTAATTAAATAATTACGCAATTTCGCGTTTGTCGACTCGCTGATAAGCAGAGGACGCGCAGCAACTCGAGTATCGATCATCACACGGCGGTCTCACGTGAGAGCGTTTACCTCCCCACAAGTTTTGGCGATCGTGTCTCTAATGCGACGTATTCGAGAACTTCACAGTGATGCTGCGAGGACCATGGAGATTTCGGTGACACTCGCGACACCCCTGGTTGTCGTTAATACAGTCGCTGTAAATTTCAAAAGTTACTCATCGTGCCACGCGACTAACTCAAGATTGGTAGCATATGGTGTTCTCAGATCAAATCGCAAAGCGCTTTGACCATCACTGGATCAATCCGGATGATAATGTCAGGGATTTTGGTGAAGAAATAAAATACGCAAAGAAAATATGTTACAAAAACGGCAATATTTTTTGAAATGTTTTCTCTTACAAGGAAGATTAAATTTCTCACATTTCTTCTTTTCATTTTTAGAGAAAAAAAAAAAATAAGAAATCAACGTGTCATATTAACCTTTAAATATTAACCTGCTGTTCAAATTTATTATACGATCGTATCGTTTGAGTCAATATGATCAAAAAATTACTAAAAATATTTTATATTTGTATTAAAAACGGTCTACTTTATTAAAATTTTAAAATTATGTCAAATTTTTTATATATCCGAATATTAATTTAATTTAATTTTAATTTAATTTATTGTGTATTTAAAACATTACATTCTCAATGTGTAATAATGAATAAATACACAGATTTAACATAATAAATTTAACATAACGTGATTGCGTTATTTGAATATTTTACGTTAAATTTGAAAATCTTCAATATATTTCTTGTCGTGTTAAAATAATATAATTTACAAGTAGACAGATAACATCTAAATATATTTTAATACAAATTCTAAGTTAAAAATTAATAAAGTGTGTTAATGTAACATATATATTATAAATATTAATTTCAATGAATGTGATTGCTTACAAATTGTATCAGTGTTTTGCGTTAATTGTTACACAATATTTATGTTACTTTCTAACGTATTATTTATCTAATCTGTTAAATTAATACAAAAATTTGAATGATCGATTTGTTTCATGTAAAATGTATTAAATTTAACACAAATTTTCCAACTGTATGAAGAAAAAAAAAGGTTTCACAAAAAAAAACCTTACATTAACAAAGTCATTGAATGTCAGAAAAAATATTTAATAAAATAACAGTAAGAAAGTAAATTAGATTTTGAATTAAATTGATCCAAACAGAAGATTAAATGATCAAGAATTTTATCGTTTCAACGTTATACATAATAGCAGCGCGAAGAATTTTTTCCTAACTTCACCAGGAAACGCGTGAATAATAAAAATTAATAGAAAAAGAAGGAAAAGAAAGAAAAGATACGACGTTGCCTCGAAGCGTTTCGTCATTGGACAGCTAACAAATAATTAGGTAACCTCGCCTGGCCAACTGTGTAAACTGCGCCTCCTCCTCGGCATCGGCGGCTCCGCTCCTTTTACACCTTATCAGGTCGCGTAAAAGACGACGAAGCGAATAAAGGGAGAGGAAGAGAAGACGCAGAAGTAAAAGAGAAGATCCGAGAGAAGTGGAGACGAAGAAAGAAAGGTAGAGAAGAGTCGTCGACCCGGACGCCTCTTCTTCTCTTCTTTGCGCCGTTGTCCCCGCCGCACGATTCCCCTTTCGAGAGAGCGTGAAAAAAATAATAAGATCGTGGCTGTCGGAGGTCGATTCTCCTCGTCTACTCCGTTCTCCCTGCGACGCGCACAGGGGGAACACGACAAAAACGTCGACCAGCAAGAAAACGGAACTTGGTGTCTCCGCGTCGTCGGCAGCATTACGAGCGACGACGCGCGAGTTCAAGCGCTCTAAAACCATAACTGGTATCATTATACGATATACGTTGAATAATGCAGCTGGCAAAATCTTTATAAATTAGCATAAATAAATGATTGCACGTAAGCAAAAATTCGTTTAGAATCTCTTATATAATATATAAATTTATATAATTTGAGAAGAGAGATCGATTGTCCCCTTTTGTGGCAAATTAATTTCTGCCATTTCATAAGAGACTTGTGGAAGTAAAAGTAATAAAATTCCAATCAATGCTACTTGGCATGAAATTACTAAAAAGCAAAGAGAATTGATGGAAATAATTACACTCATATGCGATAATCTTTATACAGCGAAAGGGAAGTAAAACGGTGATATTTCGCCGAAAGGTAAACGCGGTAAAAAGCGCGGACGAAGCAAAACCTTCGCGAGAAACCGATTTAATTTCTCCCGTCACAACCCTTTCGTGGATATCGTGTCCGAGGGTGAATGGCTAAAAGGTAATAGTTAATAACAGCGCAGCTGAAAAGGGGATCCGGTAATCCTCTTCTAATTTCTAAAACAAAGAGAGTCGCGGATCGTAGCACGCCAACGGAAGCGGGAGAAGCAGACAGAGGAAGGAAGAAAGAACGAGAGAGAAAAAGACAGAGAGGGAGAGATGAACGAGCGATTTCAAGGAAGCAAGAGAGAGAGAGAGAGAGAGAGAGAGAGAGAGAGAGAGAGAGAGAGAGAGAGAGAGAAACGTTCTCTCGTGGAGGCAAAGCCGAGATCCCGGGTTCGGTGAGTTCGAAGGGACGAAGGAGGGGAGTGAGCGGGTGGTAGGAGAACTGAAATTGGGATGAGAAGGTGGGAGGGGGGCAGGGTTCCACCCTGGAACACATTAACTGCAGGGCGACGGGGTATATAGGGGTGGGTTGAGGCCGCACCACTGGCGTAAGCCGAACGGAAAACGAAATCGTTTTCGGTAGCGTGCGACGAGTAGCTACGGCTTAATTCTGATCTCTTGTTAACCAAGCGGCGTAAATGGAAGTAACACCCTGTACGCTTTCACGTCGTAGAGTACTTCCTTCGAAAATTATCAGACTTAACATGACGGTGAAATTTTACTTTCAGAATTATTCTGCTCTATCTTGAATACTCCAATATTGTATGAATATTACAAATCCAAAAATGACTTTTCATTTTTTTTTTGCCAACGGCTTTCAGATTGATCTCTAATATGGTAGAACGATCAATTGACTTGTTCTGATATGGTTATAAGATAATTATAATAAAATCAAATATCATATTTATAATAAAACAGATAATTAAATAAATATAAATATATGATATTTGAATAAATATTTAAATTTATTTATAAAAGTACTTGTTAATTAGTAGCGAGATTAATTCAGCAAGTTTTCCCACGCACAATCGCGCGTGCCCGAAGAATCTCAGTGGTTTATCATTACCAGACTTGCCATGTGTAATCCTTCGAATTAATTCCATTCAATTTCCTCGAGGACGAGGACGGACATGAACAGAAGCATTCTCGTGTTGTAAGATTCGCGAGATTAATCCCGATTAGCCTTAATAGAGGCCTGGATAGTGGTGTATTTCCTCGTCAATCGATTTGTCCAAATATAGATCGACTAACGAATCTCGATCACTGCACGACATGGTCGCAACAATAGCCACTGTAAATTTCGCATACTAACGTATGCGAACAAACATGTACAAACTGAGAAAGATATCTTGAAAAGGAGACGAAAGCCAAGTACCATATCGAACAAATTCTATATATAACGTTCTATTTTTCTTTATCGCGCATTCCATTTCTGCTCAAAATATCTTATCGGTCCTTTGCTCGACGGTCGGCAATCCGCATTACAAGAAGACTGTGCCTAAATCTGCCGTTTTTTCATTTAATTTCTACACTAACGATTTCCTCTCTTCTGCCTAAAAATTTGTAACCGAGTAGTCGTTCGAACAATTTATGAAATTTCTTTAAATTCTCTAAATTTTATTCCTTATGATTAAGAAATCGGTCATATATCAAATTTCTAGAAGTTTTAAATTTCTATTATTATCTGATGAAACAGAAAAAAAATTCACGGAAATAATTCATGAAAAATAGATGAAAATAAATAACACATATCGATATCTTGATATAACAGCAAAGCGCCCTGTCCTACGCCAATGCGAGACACTGAACGAGGGGCGGCAGGAGCACTAGTAGCGTAGTTAGGGGTGGCTCGGTAGGGATGCTTTAGGGTGAGATTTAGTACCAACCTCCGTCGCTTAGTCTACCCATCCTGTGTATAGTGTACGTAGTGCATGTCCCGAGAGTCGAACTATAGTCGATACTCGGGAGAGAAATACCAAACCACCACGAAACACTATCCACGACAATTCATATCAGTCTTCGCTTATGATACAACATTAGTGTCTCGCAAACGGAAGTAATATCGCAGCTCGAAAGCCATCGATATGTAACGAGGAGTTGTAACGCGTCGCCAAACAAATCCATCAGTTTCGGCAATTCGTTCTTCTCCTTGATTCGCGATTACGCGAGCGACGCCAAAGGCGCCGCCCGCGTGTCCTAAATTATTAAGCACTCCCGACACGCGTTAACTCACAGTGACTAAAACCGCGCGACGCGACGTTAAGGCGAGACGTTATCCGTCGTCCCGAGGTTCGCCCTACTTACTGTTATCTTATATGGTAGTACTTAGGGTGCATTACCCGAATGCGAAGGTACCGAGCTCCGAAATTTCTATTAGTTCGAGCACGCAGGAGAAGGAGGAGGAAGGAAACCACTTCACGAAATGGGACCCTTAAGTTACCGAGGGAGAGCGACGCGAAAGAATCCCGGGACAACTTCCTGCGGCTCGATATATACGCCTAGAGCCCTTCGATGTTACCAAGACCAAGCTCGTATCTTTGTCCCTTTCGAGAACCCCCGATTGTTACTAAAACATATCCCTGCTCTTGTAATATCGCTACAAGGATCAATGGTATCTATATCTTAACGCATGTTACATTTCGTCTCAGCGAATTTTTGTACACATAGAATAATTACACGTAAGAATTGCTTACTCTCTAAATCTGAATCAATGATTAATCATTGATGTCAGTATAGTCCATATATATATCCAAGTATATATCACTGGATAATCAATCAATTCACAGTAAAATTTAATCAATGAAACGTGAAATTCCTAACCTAATCTTACTTTAGTGTATTCGACGTATGTGGTAAAACTGACGTGCAAATATCAATATTTCAATTATATATAAAATATGCTCAAACTGCTTGTTCCATTTTTCAACTGAATTTTATTGAATCACCCAGTGATATACTTGAGATTGATATCAGTGATTATCTACTGAGTCAGATTTAGAGAGTAACAATTATTATTTATAATGCATTAAGACGAGATCAATTTCTAGAAATATTCTGAAAAAAATTCCTGTTTTTCCGCTCGCTTGTTCTCATCGGTAGCATTTCTAGCTCGACTGAAGGATTCACACGGATGTTTGGCCAACGTCTTCCGTAACGGTAGTCGTTCCGAGACTCCAAAAGACAACTCCGGGGCACTCCGGAGGGATAGAACGAGGGATTGTAGCTCGTTTCGTGAGTAAGGTCTCTACGGAAGGAGGAGGAAGGAAGAAGCGGAGCAAGAGACGGGTATCCTCGAAGAGAATCCTCGGGGCCGAGGGGGAGGCACAAGAGTCAAGTAAACTCAAGAACGGCGGCCTCTTTCATCCCCGAAACTTCAAAAGCCGTATGTGAGTGTGAGAGAGAGAGAGAGAGAGAGAGAGAGAGAGAGAGAGAGAGAGGCTTCGCTAGTCGCGCCATATGCTGCTCTTCGAGAGTAGGTTTTCCCCCCTTTTTTCTCTCACCGCCGTTCGCGATAATAAAATTCTAATCAGTTTTTCCCGTGTATCGCAAGGATAGTTTCAAGGGTCTCGTAGGCGTGACACTGCACATCGATGGAAAAGGATAACCGGGAAAGATGAGACCGCATAACTTCGTCTGGAGCTCCAAGTTAATCAAGGATACAGGCCAAAAAATGGAAACGGTATTTCCTAGGTCGTTGACCTAACATGATACCCATGTCTAATACTTAACGAGAAAAAAACGTCCTTCTAATTCCAAAAGAAATTTTCAAGATATAAAAATTTAAAAAAAATGGAATTAATATTTAATTTTAATTTTATGTAAGAAATATACTGTTAATTTATTAATGTTATTAATGTTAAAGTTATTAACGCTAACTTCTTATTTAGCTCTCATTTGCTCATTTATTACAATAGTATAAAAATAATTTTCAAAATATAAAAATTTATGCTATTGATATAAATTTATTTGACGTGAACTACTTGTCTAATGAATAAATTATTACTTTTCGAGTTCTCTCAAGTAATTGTAAAATGTAAATTGTAAATCTTAAAACCAATTATATCCTCAACGTAACATAACGCGATGTGTGCGAAAAGTAATTAAACGCCTAACGCGCAAGGCAAATGTAGTTACTAGGGAAAGATTTAAGAGACGCCGCATCCCTTAAGTACACGTCGAAACAGATAATATAAGCTCACTATGGAGTGCAGGGCTTGTTTGCTCTGGGGGCTGTTTGCACACACGATCTCGCGGCTTTCTGCCAGCACGAAACCTCCCTGAATAAGGGGGAAGGCCGCTTCATCCCCGCGGGGCCGTATATATTCGATTTTCAGAACGACCTGCCGCTACCTTTCCGCTCCAGGCCTGTTGGTTTTATGCTCCGACGGAGCTGTCATTTTATATTTTCCGACGGATTATAACCTGCGAAGCCGTGTCAGTCGCGAGGGAGTCGAATATTTTACGGTTGTCGGATCCTTAATTATTCGCACTATACCTACAGTTCTATTTTGAAATTCATACAGTCGCTCTTTTCATCTCGGAATAATCTACATTTTTATTTCTATACTCGACTTATCGTAGGTGCTGTAATTTTGTGGGAAATATCATCAGGATGGAATTTCAAGGAATATTCAGTTGTTGACGCGTAAACGCAATTTACTCGCTAAACTCTGCATCATCTACATATCCGTTGCATGAGAGAAATATAACAAATTTATCCGTAACTCATTGAAATTCCAGTGTACATGTTGGACCGATATATACTCATACGTACATCCGACATAGTACAAATATACCTGACATAGTACAAATAATTCGCTTCACGTAACACATCGGGTTTTGCATAAACTCTGCAAGACCCCAGATCGGTATCATCGCGGAAGATTGCTCGCGAATTTTCGATAACGTCTGGTCAGACAGCCGACAAATCATCATGAACCATCGAGGGGTAGCGGCTCGAGAGAGACGATTGAAGATAGAGTGAAAGCGGTATCCCCGAATTTCACAGCCCGCTACGCCACAAATGAAGCACACTTGGGTGGTGCTCGATTTGGCTCGTATCATCCCGCACCCTCGGCTGAGCTCTACGCATCGAGCAAACACTGCCACGCATGTAGAACAAACACACACACGCGACTCGGTGTACATGGTCAATGAAGAGATATATGGACGTACGCAATACCGAAATCTTCACACGCCTCAATTGCTCGCGAAAAAAAAGAGCTTATCCCTCCGGGGAAAAATTACTCACGCTGTATGTCCCTTAATTTAACATTGAACATTTTATGTAACGTATTATATGTATCTCAAGCTATCAGAAGAAACACAATAAAATAGAATAAACCCGGACATTATGACCACAATGAAAGAAGAATTAACGAAATTTGAATAATATTTAGTACCAATGGAACTAATTGCTTGCAGAAAATAAATATTTATTCGATTTAAAAAAATAATACTTAAATGAAGTGTAATTTTTTTTAATTAAACAAATATTTATTTACTGTAAATAAATGGTTCTATTGGTACTATCTAAACAAATATTTAATCAAATTTGTGAATTTTTTTCCAGTGCAGGAAAGATGCAGGAAGATATAGGTTGTAATTTTTCTAATAATTGCTAAATAAAAGAGTTTTGTAGTCTTTTGAGAGTCTGTAATCAAATCTTTTCCGTATGGTCATCTTACCCGAATTATCTGCTTGGATTATACTTTGAACTTTGAACATTTATTATAGTTATATCAATCTTTTAATTAATTAATTACTGTTGCATCTCTGGTGTAAAATATAAAACCAAAATAAAATTAATTAAATATTACAAAGGTAAAATATTAATAAAAAGCTGATAACCACCAAGATTTTTATTTCTTTCATACAGAAATATATTCGTACGCTGATACGAACAAGTTAGAAGAAGATCGGAATGGGAGAATCCGTTTAATGTCATTGATATGTTAATTGGCTCGGAGTTCTCATCGCGGTCGTTAATCTCCCATGAAAACGATCGCAGGATATATGACGAGTATCCACTGGAGTAGAATACCCCGCGTGCGGGCCACGTGACCCTTGGAAGGGCGGCGGTAGATAGTAGCCACTCGAAATTTCGTGCTAGTCGAAGGTAATAGATTAATCGTACGCGTCGGTGGCCGATGAAAGGGCGGTAGAAGTGGACGGGATCATTAAATATTGTACGCGCCATGAAAAACTCAACCATCCATAGGACTGGCCGTATGGGCCACTTTTCAACCCTTCGCACAACGCAACGATAATATCTCTTAATGTCCCCCCTAA